GCTGAAGCCCCAGCACACGAACCTGTGTGCCCAGCCCGTGGGGTGGTAGCACGTGGGGAGTTTTCTGTGAACCCCGAAGGTTGAGCGTGCAGCCCCTCAGCTGCCAGCCGTGGGGTCTTTTCAAGACGTCGATCTATTCATCTTTGTAGAACGGAAGGTTTCTCACCAATAACTCTAGGGGAACTGCCCAGAGCGAGAATGACCTGTGGTGAGAAATTGGGCCTGGGGTGAGGGATGGGTGATCAGGGTCCGGCCTCGTGTAAGTGTCAGACACCTCCCCAGTGCTTCCACCGCTCCGGGGTCCGCGAGGCCGCGAGGGCCCCGACACTGGACGTGATCTCTGGTGCCCCCTGGTGGCAAAGTTGCGCTCTCGCTGCGCCCAGGCTCGGAGTTCAGCCTTGTGGTTTTATTTGGAGCCACCGCTGTGTACTTCTCCCTCCCTGTGCACTTACCCATGGAATCCTCTTCCTCTTGTAGTGTATTAAATCCGGATACTTGAAGTCATTTCACAGCAGTGAAGTGAGGGACAATGAACAAAAAACTCGCATTTGGAGTAGCAGGAGGCCAGACCCTTTACTTAGGACACCAAGATCTTCCAGGTTAAGGCTCCATATAGAGAGCTCCTGCTGTCTTCTGAGAAACTGGAGCTTCCAACCCGCCCCTTACGATTTCTGAACCTTGAGACCTGCTGATATGCACTGTTTTCTTCTGATGTGATTTGCTTTCGTTTCTGGGGTGTTTTGCCCTTCCCCCATTTTTCTCTCCCCAAATATCTGCCTCTCCTCAGTCCCACTGTCTGGGTGGCGGCTGAACTGAAAAGTTCTGAAAAACGCCTGAAAAGCCAGGAGTGGATCTGGGGTGGGATGGGTGGTAACTGGACGCCCCAAGTGCAAACTCCTTTTTTCTGATCCTTGCTTGTTCACTTATCCTTTTCCAACTGTGTTTAATTTTTATGAAGTTTAATTTTAATGGTGTAAGAATACAAGTATTTTGGCTTCTTCAAAATACCACATTGAAGACATGGGTCTGGGTTGCACGTTGTGTTGAAGGTGCTGTCATGTTTCAAGTGTTGCCGACATGGGGATTTCTGGTTGAACGTCACCTTGGGCCCTCTTTATTGGATAAACAACTATGAGGGCTCCTCTCTGGAATTGCCAAGGGTTTGGTGGTTGAAAGTGATGTTTCTAAAAAACCACAGCAGATCTTTCCTGTCTGAACTGAATTGTGTGTTTGACTGCCTTGCTGTTCTTGCAGATTTCTTACCAGGCCCAGCTCTGTGCAGAACTTAGATGTTTCACCACATTTCGCTATCCTGAACTTCCCCTTATTGTCAGCCCCAAGGCATTGAGGCTGGGGTCCCCTCGAGCTCAATCTGGTTTAGAAGAGACTTTTCTAAACATTTTGTTTTTCCAATTCTTGTTGCTTTCATCATTGTGAAGTCACCTGTGCCACTGGAGCTGGTACTCTCGGGTCAAGCTCAGAACCGGTCTGTGTGTGAGGCTAAATGACATACGCACATGCTTTTGGAATGACACTGTGCAGTGGAAGGACTCTTAGAGCTCAAAAGAATAGTTAATAAATCCAGTGTTATTCAGTTGCAAGAACTGGCCTCTTTTTGCCTTGCCAACCATTCCTGACTGTGGGCTTCGGTTGGGAGGTAGGTTCCGCCTTCCCTCAGCCTCCATCTCTGCCCAGCCCACTGTGGCTGCTTCCTGGAGGTAAGACTCATGTGCTGCTTCTGGCTGAGCTGGTGGGACAGGGGCCCTTAGACCAGGGCAGCTGTCTAGGTGGGAAGCTGTGGGGAGGAGGTCTGCAGGACTCCTTGCTCCTGGGTAGAAGGTTTCAGTGACCCTGACAGAGAGGGGGTAGAATGAGACCTCAGGAAGTCAGTGCTGGAATCAGTGTCAGAGCTGGAAGTTTAAAGACCCAGGTTTCTTGGTTTCCAGTTGTGCTCTTTCACAGCTCCTCACGGTCGCCCTCTGTTGTGAGAACCGAAGCAGAGACTGCTTTCTCACTGGAAGCAGTTCCAGGCCACTTCCTATGGACAGTTTGAAGGGAGCAGCCTCTGACTTTCCGGGGAGGTGGCAGGGGGGAAGCAAATGGGGGAAGGGAGATGCTGCTGCAGAAAGTGGCCGTCAGCCCTGGTGGCTGCCCCAGAGCCCCTGTGGTGTCAGCAAGCACAGCCCACGGCCCTGGCTTCCCAGATTGGGTTCCTCTCCCCTGGGAAGGAGCCCTGTCTATTTCTCAGCTCTTTCAGTCCCGAGGGCCTTTCACTTCCTGTTTCCCTTCTTCTCTGCCTCATTTCAGGCCCACATGCCACCAGGGAGTAGGATTTTCTGGGGATCAGAATGACCATTGGGGGGGGGGCTCACAGCAGGGAGGAGGGAGGGCCACCCTGGACACCCACTATACCGTGTCCAGTTTGAAGACAGCCTGGCTCTACTCCCAGGGACGACAGGAAGGCCAGAGGTTTTGAACACTCCGTTTAATTTAAAACAGGCACAAGTGCAAACAATTCACAAAAGGGACAATGCTTTTGTTTTTAAAACTCTGACCCTTAAAAAAAGTCCTTGCAATTTTTTTTTTTTTTTTTGCCCCAAAGCAGGCCACTAGGGATAGAGGAATCTAAAAATATTATCTAGATAGGATCCAGACACCTGGAGTTCTTCCCTGGGATTCCCTGTCTCACAACAGCCCTGAAGGTGGGGAGGGGAGGGGGACAAGGAGACAGGTGTCTGAGGAGGCAGCTAGGGGCACGTGGTTCGCACAAATGGGCTGCCCATTCCAGTGACATGATGGAATCGGGAGCTGGTTCACCTCTCCCAGACCAGGATTTTGAAAAGAACAGGTCCTCCAAGCACACAAAAGAAGAGCGGGTCCCCGATGACCTGGTTGTTGAGATGAAGCTCACAGGTAAAACAAGTTTGTTCCCTCACCATTCTGGTCCCTGGCTCTCAGATCCCACAGTACAGGAGAAACTCAGAAACCGGCCAGGCCCCCAGGATGTGTTTGACTCAATACAGACCTCTTTGCTGGTCAGGTAGAACCCCAGGACTTAAGAGGTGGGAAACCAGGCCAAGGAAGCAGGTCACCTTCAGAGCAGAGTTTAGTGGGAGAGAAGATGGAGAAGCCTAACCAAGACAGTCGTGGGTGACCTTCCTCCACACCACACACACACACACACACACACACACACGTGCGCGCACACGCATCCTGTAAAGTGAGATTTTACCACCAGCTGCCTTCTTCCTCTTTCACCCAGAAAATTCCCCTCCCCCTCACGGCCTCTGAGCAGGCTGTTCACAGTTGGGCGCGGGCTGTGCAGGGAGTGTGTTGTCAGCTCAGGTGGGTCGGGAAGCAGGTGCAGGTGGGACTGTGCCTTCAGGAAGTCAGACACAAGGGAGGAAGATGGAGTCAGGCAATAAACACCTTCCAGACCCCAGGATTTGGAATTGGAGCTGAGAACAGCAAGCATCCTGATGAAGACAGGCAGTCTGTCTCTTGGGTGACCTGGGATGCTCGTGTACTACTACTTTAAAAAAAAAAAACCTCAGCAGCCTTTTCTGCTGTGTTGGCCACAGTGGCCAGAAGCACTGGTCTCCGTGTTTCATAGAAATATCCCTGTGCAAATAACAAAGGGTCACCCTGCAGAAGAGGTCTCCATCATCCCAAAGGCAACTGGGGCCTCTTGGGTGGGAAAGTGACTGAGGGGCAGGTCCGGCCTGGCCCAGTGGGCTGAGGGGCAGGAGGGCAGGGTCGGGGCTTCACATTCAATCTTTGGAGAGAATACTGAGAGAATGAGGCAGGCAGCCAGGCCCTGTTGGCAAGTTGGTGGCCCAGTGTCCCCTGCCTGTGGGCACAGGTGGCAGGCGCACTCTGGGGCTGGGCTCAGCAGGTGGAGGTCTGCTTGCGGTAGAGCTGGATCAAGGGCACCAGGCACTCGGGCAGCCCCGTCTGCAGCAGGAAGGGGTGGTCCAGGAGTTCCTGGGCCGTGGCTCTCTCCTGGGGGTCTCGCACCAGCATCTGTTCCAGGAAGTCTCGCAGCACTGGGGAGACCTGTGCAGGCAGGGCAGTGAGAGGGAGCCACAGTTTGCAGACACTTTGGGGTGACCCAGTCTGCCTGGCCCCACTGTCATTTGAAAGTCTTAAATTCTCGCTTCTTACTTCCTGGTTCCTCCCAGGCTCAGTACTTTCTGGACTATCAGGTAGGTAAAGAAAGTCAGCATCAGTCTGGGAAAGGTGGCCAGTTCACCTACAGGGGGTGCTGGTGAGCAATGGAATTAGGATACCAGGAGAGCTGGGGAGCTGGGCTCCAAATACAGCCCATGCACCACGCTGCTTCTCAGGGTTCTCAGTGTTCAGGCTCTGTGGAAAGGGGCATGGGATTGGTACCCAGTGATCCAGTCCTGGGTCTATCCCTAATCTCCAGCAAGTTGTACTTTTCTCTAGAGCTCAGTTTTGTCATCTGTAAAATGGGCTAATGATAAAATGTGCTTTCCCTCTCTGCTACACAGGGCTTTAGTGAAGATAAAAAAAGAGGTCAGCGAGGAAGGATTGTTTTGAAAAATAGAAAAGAACAAAGTGGGACCTGAAAAAGGAAGATTCCTTTATTTCTCTAAGCCTTAGAGTCTAAGTCAAGGGCTTACCCTGGTTCATTTTGAGTCAATATTTTGTGATAAGGCTGAGTCTTAGGCTGTAACGGAAGGCTGCATCCTCTGGGGAATTAGCCAATTAGAAATATCTGCTAGTCTAGGGGGTCAGGAGTGCGGGTTCCAAGGACCAGCTGTCTCGCAAAGTGTTTCCTGTCTCTCCTCGCATCCAGCAGGGCTACAGAACTATTTTGCATTTAGAGACTGAGCTTCAACCCTCTGGGACATTTCTCACTCTAGCCACCAGATGGCAGTGCCACTCTGCAGCCCTGTGCTGAGCTGGCTACCAGCAGGGGGTGCCCACAGGTAAGGACTGTGGGTTTGGGTGGATTTGGCAGAAAAGCGTTACACACCGCACACACACCACACACCACACACACACACACACACACACACACACACACACACACACACACACACACACTGGTTTTAAGGGAAAAGCTGGCTCAGATGTGGTTAGGATGTACATTGATGGAGGGCAAGCCAATTCTCTGTGATGGAGACTGGGAACACTGTATGCCTTGGCATGCCTCCCCTGACAGATGGGGTAGAGGCGTTACTGCTCAGTTAACTTCTCTAGATTCTTTCCCAGGGCATCAGGGACTCCCGCCGGCCTTGCTTTCCCTTCTTTCAGGCTCCTGTCAGTTGTCTGCAGGTGGAAACTTGTTGGAGTGACCACGGGAGTTTGTGACTAGGCTCCACACCAAGGTGCGGGATTTGTGTGGAGAAAGATGAGCCTTTTCCGGGAGCCCGGGCCCTCTGGTTTCTGTGGGAGGGAGAGGCTGGGCCTCACAGCCCAGACTCTGATCCTTGAAGCCTCAGGAAGAATCGGGCCTGCAGGGTCACACCCTGTGTACCGACTGACCTTGTGAGAGTTCTTCAGCTTGGGTGGGGGGCTGTCCCGGAGCCTCTTCATGGCTTGCACTGGGGAGTCACTGAAGTAGGGTGGCTCTCCATCTACCATCTCAATCACCATGATGCCCAGAGACCAGATATCCACCTGCAGGAGGAGAATGTCCCTGACTCCACTGGCCAGAGTCTGGCCCCTTGGTAGCAACATGCTGCAGGGGGAGGGGAGCAGCTGGTCCCAGGTTTCCTTGGTGAGTCGGCCTCCTTCCTGGTCACCTTCCCTGTGGTTAGTTACCATCTGCGTGAGTGACCACCGACTGCAGGGACACAGCTGTCAGCCACTCTCTTAGAAAGGCCACCACACACGGGGAAGCCTGGCCATACCCCAACCTGCCCTTGCGCTTGGGGGAGAGCATTTTGGGGACCAGTTTGTGGCAGCAAAGTCACAGGCCAGAGAAGATCCAACCAAGAGTGGGAAGGGGGCAGTGGATGTTGGGGTAGGGGTATTGACTAAGTGGGAACCCGACAACTGGGGCTATTCGGGGTTGGGGGGCTCTGGAGGAGACCACAAGTAGAAGAGCTGTGTGTCCCCAAGCCTCTTCTGGGAGGGCTGCGTGGTGGAGGGAGCCGTTACCTCAGTCGCATACAGACACCTGCAGATCACTTCAGGAGCCATCCAGTAGGGGGTTCCCACCAGGGACTTCCTCTTAGGGACATCTTTGCTGATCTGTGCACAGAATCCGAAGTCCGAGAGTTTCACCTGGGGTTGGGGTGAGAGGGAGAAAGGGGAGTGATGGCGAACTAGGGAGGAGGAGCCGTGAAGTGGGGTCATGGGTGTGCCAGGGTGGGAAGGGCCCTACCCTGCCGTCGAGGGTCAGCAGGATGGAGTCGCTCTTGATGTCCCGGTGGATGACACCCTGAGTGTGCAGGTAAGCCAGGGCCTGCAGCACGGCCTCGCACACGGTGGCGATCTGCTCCTCATTCAGCCTGGACAGAGAAGGCAGGGCCACCAGCGGAAGAGCACGTTAGCTTTGGCGGGGCTGCAGGGAAGACAGGCTGGGCAGAGTAGGTGCCCCTGGTACGGGGCCCCACAGCTCCTGGACGATGTGTGTGGGAGCCCAGTCAGGCCAGAGCCCTGGTGGAAACGGGCCTGGGCCTAGGCTAGAGACCTCGTGTCTTCCCCACTGCCCTGAGACCCCTGGGACTGTTAACCCGAACAGATGGGGGTGGGCAGGGTGGCTCGGGACCACGTGATGGGCACCCCAATCATCCGGGCCTGAGGCTGCCTAATATCCCTGCCAGGGCAGTGGCGGGAGCAGCCAGCGCTGGGTCCCAGCCCTCCCAGCTGCCCACCTGACTTGGGAGATGATGTCCGTGAGGGCCCCGCCCTGCAGGAACTCCATAAGCACCCACAGCTCCTCGCCCACCAGGTAGCTCTTGTACATCTCCACCACGTTGAGGTGCTGGTAGTCCCGCATGATCACCACCTGGGGGCAGGAGGGGACGCCTGAGTGCCGGGCACCCTCCCCACTGCCCCTGTTTGCAGATGTCCAGCCTGCCTCCACCGTCACTGCCCGTCCCAAATTCCCCGCCACACCCTCTCCTCCCACCTCATTAAAGAGCAGCTCCCTGCGCTGCTGCTTCCTGAGGTCCATCATCTTGACGGCCACCTGGCGGCCTGAGTGCTTCTCCCGGGCCAGGCAGACGATGCCCGTGGAGCCCTCGCCAATCTTCACGTAGCTGTCCAGCAGTAGCCGGGGGTCACCCTGGTCCACCACCATCCTGAGTGCGGCCTTGAACTGCTCGTGTGTCACAACGCCCGTTTCCTCACCAGCCAGGGCACCCTTGGCCACTGTGGGGTCCTGGGGCAGGTACAGGTTGCTGGTGCTGATCTGGGCATGCCGGGTGCGGGGGGAGCCTGCCGGGGAAGACCGTCCTGGAGGAGGGCCGGCAGCTGGGGCTGTGCGGAGGGACTTGTGGGGGCTGCTGGTATCCGAGGTGGCCAGAGGGCTGAAGGTCCCCACGGGGTGGTCTGAGGGCAAGGACTGGGCCTTGGCCACCAGGCTTGGGGGGCGGTCTTTCTGCAGCGGTCTGAAAGAGGCGTTGGGCTGCAAGGAGAAAGGAAGAAACAGAAAGGGGTTTGGCTGTGAGAGCATTTGGAGTACCCTTCCCAGAGGCAGGGGGTGGCTGCCGTGACCTCTGGACACTGGCAGGGTTGGGCAGAGCCGGGATGGGCATCAGACTCATGTGGGAGGTGCCGCAAGCAAAGATTTTCAAATGGAGCTGAAACCAAACCATAGTCCTGCTTGAGAAGTCAACTCCCAGTGTTCCCAGGTGAGCAGACAAAACAACAGCTCTTTATAACCACACTGTCCTTCCTGCGAAGACAAAGCCGAGTCCCTGGGGTGTCCTGGGCCGGTATTTCTTCCTTGGGTGACTGACAGCCAGACCCCAGGGAGGCCATCAGGAGGCAATCTGGGTCAGAGGCGTTCACAACCATGGCTACCCTACCCAAGGGCCCATGCGGGCAGAAGAGGCCCTGGGTGTTAAGGGCGGGGGCTGCAGCGAGGCAGCTGTGACTGACTCCCAGGACACACGGCTGCCGTCTAATAGTCCCGATTGTTCCTGACAACGGGGAGTCTGCGCGTCTGTGCAGTGAGATTAGGTCCCCAACAGAGGACCACAGAGTCATGTTACCATCTTGGGGGGGTCCTCAGGTATCTCCTGGGCTGGGGATCTGTTGCTAGAGAGATCTGGAATCAGGAGGGTAGGTCCAGCCAAACCCAAGCCTTGGGGCCAGGGGTGAGGGGGTTTCCTCAGGGTTCCCCAGAGCAGCTCCTCTACTAGCCACATGGAACTCCTGGCTGATGACCCCCAATAAGGAAGAGAAGGCAGGGGGCCTATCTTTCTGGTCTCTGGCAGGGAGGGAAGATGGAATCGAGCAGCAGGCTGGGCCCCCAGTGAGTCTTGCTCAGGCCCAGCCCTCCGGGCAGCCCCAGCAGGAAAGGGTTCCATCCCTGGGTTTCCCCAAGGAGCTGGTGAAGTGCAGCAGGACCCTTCCCAGGGACTGTGTATGTTTAAAAGGGCCACCTGGAGAGGGCCATATGCGACCTAACGGGGGACACCTGAGGAGCTGCAGAGAGGGCTTCCCGGAACATCTCAGAGCCCATCTCATAGGCGGTTGTCTAGGTGACCAGAGGGTGCTGGTCTTCATCCTCAAAACTGAATCAGCGTCCAGGGAATCTACTCAAGCACTCAGCTTGGGCTGGGCTGCTTGAATCTGGGCCTTGGGCGCTACCAGGCTCAGCCAGGGCCTTTACAACCTCTTCAGCACCCCTCCCCCCTAGACTTCAGGGTCCTTATCCCAGTCCCTGGCCTTGCTTAGTATCGGGCATGTGCACGGTGCCTCTTCTGGCAGAGAGCCATGCTGTGGGGCTCTGCCACCCCCAGCCCCGCAGGCCCACTGAGTGCACTCCAGCCTCTGCCAGGCCGTGCCTGGCTCGTGCTCAGCCCTCGAGGTGAAGGAGCCAGGAAAACCTCCCGGGACTGCCATGACTACTCCATCCCCGCCCGGCAAGCACATCTGTGCAGTAAATGGATTGTCCCCGCCAGCACCATCACCCGACCTCACGCCGCTTTCC